CTGCCATGGTGCTGACGGAGCAGCCCCCTGAGGGGGTCTTGGGGCAGGGCTCTGGGAGACAGCGGCCTCCCGTGGGAAACCAGCACGGGCTGTGGATGGGGACAGCGTGGGGAAGCTCCTACCGTGTATCCAGCTGTGACCCCCATGTCTGTTTGCACCCATCCGGGATGAAGAGCAACACAGAATATGCCGTGTTCTCGGTACCCCATGGACTGGCACCTGGTGAGCATGTTCTGAGCAGCCTGGGGGAGACAGCACAGGGATCAGGTGGGCATTGGGACAAAGTGCTGCCAGTGAGGTGTAGGGACTGTCAGATCTGATACTGGAAGACTCATTAAGTCATTGGCCAAGAGGAGGAGGTTGGCTTAGCCTCAACATGGCACATACCTTGCTGCAGCGATAACAGACAGCTTGTATGGCTTCCCATAAATACATTTCTTTGATAGATCCTCCAATGCTGGAAATGTTGACAATGGCTGCCTTGCTGCAGCTCATCCCCGAGCCTGGGCTGCCTTGGGCTGCCTTCTTCAGCAGCGGCAGGAATGCCTGTGGGGAGGGGAAGGAGAAGCATGCACAGAGGGAACTTATTGGAAGGGCGTGTTTCTTTCTGTAGTAGGTCATATCAGAGCAACAGAATCAGACAACAGCTGTTATTGGCAGCTATCTCTGTAGATCTGGTGCAACATCGCCTACTGTATGGGATCTGCTGAATCATGGCCTGAACCTCTGATTGATCACCTGAGGCGAGCAATGAGTCTGCCCTGGGAGCAGGGGTGAAGGTAGTTCACCTGTGCTACTGGAAGGAGTGGAGCCTGGCTGCACCTCTCCTAGACCCAATTATGATCTGACTACCAGTGGGGAAGAACCCCTTCCTGAAGATCATCCTTTTGGAGTTTTACAGCAAGCCCAGGACAAGGGTATGCACTCTATCAACTGAGCCATTTTGTATAATAACCTGCTTAGCCAAACTCTGGTATATTTCATAATTATGACATCTGTATATTCATTGCTTGTACACCTACCCAAGCAGAGTCACCAAAAGACCATGTCCAGGTGACTTCTGAGCATCTCCAAGGAGGGACAGTATCAGCAATCAGCCACAGAAAGCACTCGGTCACCCACCAGTACTCAAAACAAAGGCAGAGTGCAAATTCTTGTTCCCCTGGCTCAGATCATGATACTCTGCTCCCTGGCATGGGCCTGTACCTCTGTACTCTTATCTTATCTTGTGGTCCCAAGCTCCAAAGTGCCAAATTCTTCAGCCTGCCTCCTGGTCCCAACCCGGAATGGCACTGTTTGCTCAGCCCCTTCTGCACTGACTTGAATACCTACTTCTGACAGCAAGAGACCAGAGTGGGACTTGAAGTGTGAAGCATCTGACAGCAGGGTAAGAAGGCAGCAAGAGAGAGTGTAGGAGGGCCCTGTGCCATGGGCCCCATTCTTCCTCCATTGAGGACCAGAGGGATGCAATGCAGGGACGTTCCTGGAGCTGTGGCTGAGCACATTACCTGGCCCAGCAGCAGAGGTGCAATGGTGTTGGTGGTGTACACCTCGGACATGTCCTTCA